CAGTCTGGAATTCTGTGATTAAACTGAAGTGCCCAAAGACCAGCCCAGCTTTCCAGTGGCAGCTGGAAATCATCATCACTTCAGGACAGAGCCCCCTCCACAGGGTGAGAGCCTTCACTGCAGCTCCCCCAGCTGCCCATCAGTCCTTGGTTATCAACAGAGTTTTATAACACACAGATGTGTGAAATCTTAACGGGGATGGGGCTCATCTGCCCCAGCACTCAAGGTTACCAGCCCTTAAATCCTGCCCCAAATACAAACCACCTGTTCTTACCAGGTGACAAAAAAGCTCATGAGATGCCACCATGGGATGAGAAGCAGCTGCATGTGCCCTGCAGACTGTTTCAAGAGAAACATTCTGGAAGGAGACAACCCTTCCTCACCCAAGTGAGAGCACTGAGAGCAGTGACAATCACCCACTGAGCCTTTCTGCACCTTCCTGTACAGGGTGACCAAGCAAAGGCCATTCAGTGCCTCAGTAGCTGAGCCCCCTGTCCACGGCACAGCAAAAAGGGGATAAAACAGGGCAGCACTCAAAGCCTCAGGATGAGGCATTGCCTTCAGCATGGCAACAACCCACTGACCTCCCCTGCTGCTTGGATTTTTTAAGATTTTCTAAGATTTTCTAAGCCTTCTGATGTTGACATTCTTGTAATGAATTTTCTCACACACTTTCTGTAAATAACTCATTGTTTTGCATTCTTTTAAGGAGGAGGAGAAGTTTGATGGACTGTTGGTTTGTCCAGTGTCATTGGAGAGGTGGCACTGTCACCCTCCAATCCACTGTCACTTCAAAAACTATACATTTGTGGCACTTGGTGCCATGATCTAGTTGAGGTGTTAGAACATGGGTTGGACTCGATGATCTTAAAGGTCTCTTCCAACCTAGAATTTCTGTGATTTCTGTGAAATGCTGGAGTCAGAAAATAAGCTTCCCTTTTTTCTTCACTTGGACAGCAGCAGGGTGTGCTTGTGTTCTTTCCTGTCCTATAGTGACACTCCCCACCTGGGCCAGGTGTGCTGCTGTCACCAAACCACAGCCAGGGTGGCACAGCCAGGCCCAGCAGTGGCACCTGCCCACCCCACTGCATCCTCCCCTCTGGAATGGGCAGGAACCACATCCTGGCATCCCTCCCTGAGGGCACTCACCACTCAGCTCTGGGGGAGGGCTCAGGTAGAAGGTGCAGTAAATGTCATTGTGCACCTGCAGCTCTGCGTGCATGGGCTTCTTCAGCAGGTCTGGGATCTTCTCCTCCTGGAAAGGAGTCTTTTCCAGGATGACTACAGCATCCGTGCCCTCTCCAGAGAGGCCAATCCTCTGGAATACAAATGGATAAAGTCATCAGCAACACAGATCCAGCACTGTGGACAGTCTGAGGTCAGGGATCATCAGACACCTCACAGCCCCCAGTCCTCGTGCCCAAACGCCCTGCAGGACATACACCCATCCAAATACAAACTGCACATTTGCCTGGAGGCACAGCAGAAATTTGCTCCCCACCAGGGAACACAAGTGGTTTTTGGGGGAGCTGGGGATGTGGGCAATGACTCAGCCCATCTGCACCTCCCCGGATGCTCCCGGGTTTCCTGTTGACCCACAGCACCAATTTCATCTCTGACACTTCCCAGGAAGAGGGCAAAGGCAGGGTGGGGATTTGCTCATAGTCAGGGAGCAAGTTCTGGGGCAGGGGGCACTCCCTGCTGCCCTGCTCCAGGGAACCACAGCCCCGGATCCCGAGGCCTCAGCGGGCTGGTTTGGGGAGGTGCTGGGTGTGGAACATCCCCCAGCCTCACTCCTGTCCGTACAAAACCCAGGTGAGGCTTCATCACATCACCTGGGGCTCCCAACCCTGTCAGCTTGAGAAGGAAGATGTGTGCCGGTGCCTTTACAAGCAGTTTGATCGGTGTTAATGTCTTTGAAACAGGTCATAATGTCTCTATTGACTTTGGGCAGTTTGGCTCCAGAAAGAGCCAAGGGTCTGCACGAGCCTGAACTTCTGAACTTTGGGGGAAAATTACAGGTTTAAGGGGGGATATGGGGTAGGTGGTTTGGGAAGGCTGTACCTCCCTAGGAGTCAGCCAATTGGGAATGGAAGAGGGAAACATGTGGCCGGGAGTTAGGATAAAAGGGAGGCTGCGCTCTCCAAAACCTCGAGAGAGAAAACCCTGCTGCCAATGTGGACTAGTGCATTCTCTCCCTGCATTGGAATAAAGCTGAAGGACTCCTCCATCTCCTTCTAAGCATAAACCTCTGGCGTTTGTGGATTTTCCTGACACGCTGACAGGGCAGAGCAGGTCTGTGCCCAGCTGTTACTGCAGGAACCCACTGAGACCAGCGCAGCAGCCTGGAACCTCCCTGTCCTCATCTCCTGCTTGGCTGCACATTTCAGGAGACCGGGGCCGAGACAGCTGCGCGGTTCCCTCGCCATGCACGGAATCACGGTTATCAACACGCACAACCCCAAGAATTATTCAACATTTCCCAGTAATGGCTGTACTATTTACAGTCCCAGAACCAGCACGCTGTTTGCAACCCAGTGCCGCTTTACCTACCAAGCACGAACAACGTGCTGGAACCCAAAGGCACCAAATCATAGCAACAAGAAAGAGGATTGCAGTAAGGTCTGCAGCCGCCTCCGCGGCCGTGAGTTCCGCCTAGTTCGGGCCGGGCCAGGCTGGAAAAGC